GCATTAACAGCCTAGGTCGTTTATGAAACAGCTTTACAATTAGAAAAAAGTTTTAATGCACTCTGTATATGATTTATATTCAAACTGGTTCACAGCACGGCTTTCTCGTCAAATTAGTTATTGATACTCGCTGGATTGTTCGCCGTTTTAAATTTGACAGATTTTAAGAGCAACCCTCGCTGGCAACCGATATCAATACCTGGAGCGCGTCAATCAAGCAATTGAATTGATTTTCGAGGTTTCCGCTTCGGTTTTTGGTTAGCTGCTTGACTTGACCGCCGACAATGTGGCTTGACGGTTCGCCCGAACTGATATGCCCTGGCGAGAGCAGCAAACAGCCCCGGGATGTGCGAATGCTGATGATGACATCTGTGGCTGATGCTGGCCATGTTGATGATTGACTGTTCGGCCAACTTGGCGTGCAGAGCAAGCCGCCCCAGCCCCCGTTCACTTTGCCCACCAGTTGCATCAGCTTTAATATGAATGCGCGCGTGTTTCCCTTTCGGCTGAAGACGTTGCTTGCACTGCACAGTCATCCTTTTTGCCAGTTTGTTGTAACTCGTCGCATAAATACATAAAACAAGTCGAGTTATTCGAATATTTGTAAACGATTTGCATAAGCAAAGGCAACAATCCATTGCGAACCATTGGCAGCAGCCCTGCTCCATCCGCACACTCAGAGAAAAACGTCTTTCTTAATTCTAGTATGAGCGTGTTTGATTTTTTCGAGAATAAAGAAAATATTAGGAAAATACTTAATAGTGTTGTATGAAATCTTACGTATTTTAAATAAGCCTATAATTTTGATAGCTAAGCAAATATTTTCTCTTTTGTATTCTGTTATTACTCAGCTCGTAAACTCAATTTTGGCTAGATTTTATGTTTGTTCCCGATTTGATTTCAAAGCTTTTATAACTTTTTTTTTAGAGTGCATCTGTAAGTTACTTTGTGCCTTTGTATTAATGCATGAGTTTACACAGTAGCAAAATATATCATACTATATACATTTGTGTGTATAAATGTTTGTCGATTTGAATGTTTTACGCTTTGTGTCATTGTACTTTGAGGTTGTTGCCATTGCTTGACGCAGTTATGATTACCCGCAACGCTTCGCTTCGCTTAACATATCAATACTATCATAAGCAGGCAGCAATGGATATGGATGCAATTGATACAACAGATATTGATACACCAGCATAAAAGATAAAGATAAATAGATGCAGATATGGCCACAGATGCAGATGCATTGATATAAAATATACTTACACAGGTACCGACAATAATTCTGTTATATAAGTAGATACAGATACAAAATATAAACAAAGATTCAAACAAAGATATAGAAATTGTAATGCATATAGATTAGAAGATACAAAAATAGAGCTACAGATACAATTATATTGAAAGATACGGAACCGGCTCAACTCCGGATTTACAAAGCACACATTTATTTACAGATACAGAAAAAGATAGATATACATTTATAAAGCTATCGATATGGATTTATACCGATAAATATTACAAATTAACATTTGTTTGTAGCCAGAATACGTCTTATATATATATTTCAGTATGTTATTGAAATGCACTTATCTGCACACTCCCAACTCCCTTCCTCACTCTCAACTCTTTGTCCACACCTCGCTCCTCACAGCGTGCTTTTCAATTTGAAATTTACTTGCAGAGCTCGTGCTGGCTCTGCTTTGGCATTAAATATGAAAAATCAATTTCAGATTCCCTACAACATCTAACCGCAGAATCATCGCATCGTAATCACACACAAACACACACACACACACTTACGCTTAAGGGACTGGGGGCCAACATATGGCGGTTAGCATAACCAGGGCACTTGTAGATTGCAATTGGAATGCAGCCCTCGCCACATAACAGTTGATTGTCGGTGGGCAATATGTACATACGTATGCATATGCATGCGCCCCGGGCATACCAGAAGCGGGGGCACATCCTGGTGCTTGGGTCGGCACGCCCCCTTTATTTTGCATGTCTCTATTAACGCTTAGAGCAGCGAATTTTACTCGGACATTTGCATAAAATGTGTTTTCCCTTTTGCTATCCTTTACCTGTAAAAGTGGTAGAAAAAAAGATTGACTGACTGACTAGTTACCTAACTGACTGATTTAAGCTTAAGCTAAATGTTTCGCAGACTTCAAATTCCCTTTGCAAATAAGTGGAAAAAAAGAGAAAAAGTGATTATAAATTTAATAAAAAATACTTTGTCCCAGCAAAGTCGCGTAACATATACTAGTATCAAAATAATGCGCATGCATATCTGCTAAGTCTCTAGCTGTTAGAGCACATTATGTGTAGCCCATACTTTCATTAATTCCCTTGTAATTCGCAAACGGTTATAGCAGATGGAACATTATAGTGTAAAGTATATCCGTTTCGAGCACTTTTGACTGCAGTCAGCTTAGTTAATATTTATGCCTCGTCACATTTGGTTTTCATGGTTCTGCCCCGGTTTTTGCTGCGTTTCGTGACCCTTTCGCAGGAATTTTTAATGGGTTTTATTTACGCTGTGGTAAAGTCGAAGTCAAGTGCTGAAAGTTGGCGGCAAATTAATGAAGTTTTTCTGGCATATGATTAAAACTTTGCTCTTAGCTGCATAGGTTTTTTTAGGTTTTTTATTTTTTGCATGCATGAATACATGGTGGGTTGGTGGGCGGTAGTCATGGCTTATGTATTCTAAAAGTTAGCCGCAGAACTTTTTCCACGTTACATTTTCATTTGCATTTCCCTCGCTGCTGTTGCCCATTACAATAATATCTTTTGGTTACATTTTGTGCGCTTTCAATTCCATTCGCCACCTTTCATGCCCTGGCATCAAGCACAGATTTGACCCAGTTATAGTGCCCAGATCACGATTCCGAACGTCGCGCCGGTTTTTCTTTCTTTCTTTTTTTTTATATACATATTTTGTGTGTTTCTTTAGCATGGCCCCAAGCTCTGGGGCTTTATTTTATTTTGTTTGTTCAGTTTGCGTCTCTTTTAATTGTCTTTAGCTTTGCTTTTTGCTTCATTTTGTGAGAGGATTTTTTTTTATAGACATTTGTGTGGCTTCAAAACGGCTAGATAAACAGCCAGCGGCTTAATTTATTTAAATTGTTATGTTTGTTTAAAAAATATTTAAAGTCATTCAGGCAGTTGTTTGCTTCGATTTTCCCGTGTCCATTGTCCAGCTGCAATGCTTATTTACTTGCCATTGTTGCACAAAGCGGGTGATCACTGTGGGTATAAATAGTCGAATATTAGCCACATAAAGGGGCTTAGTGATGCTCTCTTGAGCGTATATCTGTATGAGCTTTAAATAAGTGTGGGAATTCGAAAGCCAAGTGTGCTTGATATTGAATAAACATGGTAGTTAGAATAGAAGAAGAATTGAAGAAGTTCTCTATATTCGTATAGACACAATATTTAAAACTGCAGAAAAAAAGCTTCATTTAATGTTTCACCGTACTCATTAGTTCAGCTCCATGCAGCTGTTTCCTCTTTTGCAATATCTCCCCCAGGCTTATAGGTTTTTTTTTGTTTTAATTTCCAGTCAATAGTTTTTCACTTCAGTTGAGTTCGACACATAAGCCTGATGCTCATGTTTCGCTTTGACAGCTTCCCTAAGCGTTTTTCTTTTACCGTTAATTGCAATAGCATTTACAGCTTATTCAGTTAATTCGCACTTGAAAGCGGCGCAAAGGAAGAGCATTTTCTTCTTTTTTTTTGGTATTTTTTATTTAACTCTTTTTTGCTGAATTTCCAATGCAACTGGCAACAAATCGTGTCGCTGAGGGCCTGGGCCAGCTGAGGCGACGGCTTTTTAATTGACAGGCAACGGGCCAGGCTCTGAGAGGGTTTAGAGAGGGCTCTGCTGAAGCGTGGGAGGGCCAACAACCACGGGCGATGGGAACAAAAATAAAAGGTCAGGCCAGGTAGAGGTAGCGGTAGAGATAGAGAAAGAAAAAACAAAAGAAAAGAGAGCGAAAAAATGTACTGAAAGGCCTTTTAGACAGCTGCGTTGCATTGGTTGCCCGGAATGGAATTGTGGAGCCGCAGCAGCTGCTTTTTGCCATACAGATGGATGTGGGCTTTGAGGGGGAGGCGGCACGAAAACGGGAAGATTGACTTGATTAAAGATTTCACACTTGATTAAACACTGGCAACGTTGTTGTTATTGTTGATGTTGTTTTTGCCCCACAGCTCCAATTGCAAGTTTCAAGTTCGTTGCAGCAATTGATGAACGAAATTAATTTTTTTATTCGTTTTTTCGGGTTTTAATTTCCGAGGTTGCCAGCTGTGCAAGTTTCTTTTTATGGTAGTCGTTTTATCGTATATTTTTTAACTGAGGCGCCAAACAATAACAATGGGATAACAACGGCAACAGTTATTTATTTGTAGCTCAAAAAATGAACAGAAGTCACAGCAATTAATGCGCACAGTCAAGTAAAATATATAAAATGTGCAACAAGGATTGACACAAAAAAGGAAATACGAGTATTTAACATTGACATTGGCTTTGACACGAGGATAAATAAAAAACAGCAAATTACATGAAAAGCTTCGTTTGATACTTGATCTGTTTGCACTGAGCTATTAGCTTAAAACCATTAGCAGTGGGCTATAGACTGATTGACCATCTGATTGACTGACTCAATACATAACCTTATTGTAAACCTTAGCTTTAAGTTGCATTTCTTACAATACTTTTTGCCCCACTTACAATCTATAGAATATATTTATAACTCTTAATCCCTATGATCGACTGATTGACTGACTAAGAGCACACAGGAAAAGCCGTAAAAGTTAGGCTGCCAATTTTTTCACATACTCTCTGTCACACGTATTTATAATTATCTATGCCTATCAAAAATAGGTTATCATAAATTTTGTTAAGTTTTGTATTGCCTCAATCCATTGTAACTAAATCCAATCAATTTTTACTGCAAATTGTTAATGATAATTATTTGTCGTTTGATCTTTTACAGCTGTCGCTATTCATATACCATATTAAGAGGTAAGTGTATCTAAAATACACCCCACACTTATTCACACACATACCCCGCTCCCCCTCCCCCTCCCATCACACACTCACTCGCTACATAACGAGCGCCATTCAGTTATGCTTTCCCAGGGGCTCATCGTATCAATCTTAATTTATAACAAATTTAATATGGTTGGGTTTATTTTTTATCGGATGGTGGCTGCCGACGCGTGGCAGCAAAATGGGAAGCGAATTCTCCTAGGATTTAGCCAACATGACGCCTCCACATATGTGTGTGCTTCTGGTTTCTCCACACATGCCACATGCAAATGTGCAATGTGCTAAAGTGGGCGTGGCTGCTTTTTGGTTACAGCTAAGCTTTGCTCTCGGTTTTTCTTAAAGAGTTTTCCCTACTTTTTCAGTCCTTGCAGCCATTGAATTGTGCTTGCCCCACGCTACATAAGGGCTCGTAAATATGCTACGGTGAAATTCGACAAAAAAAAACGTGTACAGCAAAATACACTTAAGTGATTTTATGGCGCCCATTTAAATGGTTTTTAAATCTGCCAAACGTAAAACGTAAAAATATATATGGAGGACCCTGCCCCCAAAGGGGGACTAAGCCATAAATTTGCAGCAAGGTTTTGCCACCTAAATGTAAGCTTCTCAAAAGAGCTCTCAAATGTATGCAACACGTGTAGGCATGCTATGTGTGTGTTCTGTGTGTGTATTGTGTGTGTGTTGTGTGTGTTGTGTGTGTATTGTGTGTGTGCTGTGTGTGTGTTGTGTATGCGCTGTGTGTGTGCCGTGTTGTATTTGCCTTCAAATGCGCTTATCAGCAACAAGTAGATGGAAGCGTTTGCGGTGGCCCAGGGAAACCGATTGATGAAAAAAACTCCAGTCATCGATAAACGACTAACAGATATCCTGCACTTAGCTCCGCTTTTAAATTTTTCTATTCAGGAAATGACAATTCACATTGTCTTTTACTGGCCGAGGTATGCTAACTAAAAACAATATTTGGTATACAATATTTATTGACTCTGGAGATATGAAGAATACTTTTGTCCACATATATCTAGTGTGTCTTCCTGCCCCTTGCAGACATTAAAGCAACAGCAATAAGCCCATTATTAGATATTTTCAATAGCTACAGGGTACAGGCACGTATATGAATGGGTCTTTGAGCTATTATTATTATTTGGTTCTACACAAGTTTCATAGGTACAGGTAACACCCTTATCTTGCTACTATAACTAGACCTTGTACAGGTTAATAACTGTGATAATGGCATGACTAAATTGTAAACTTTGCTGGTTAGTCGCAGCCTCAGTATACCCTCCTTTTCTGCTTCGCTACTAAGCATAAAGTATGCTCACTTTTTTGTTTAGACTGCTGTCTGCGGCTTATCAACAGCTGTCGTTTTGCTTGGACTGCCTTCTGAGGGAGCGCTCCGACAGAACGCTTGATTGACTGCCGGTGTCAGTCGTTAAGGCTGAAGCGGAGGATTGTCTGCATTTTGCGAAAAAGCACTTGAACTTGAAGCATGGCATACTTCAAGGCGTACATTCTGATTGCGTTGCCTTAGATAAATTATAACGTTAGCTGAATGACTCGCAGATACGCAGTCATTTTGTATGAAGCAATCGAATGGTGTTGATCAAATGATTCAGCGAAAGGCGCGGTAGATAGATGAATTTAAAATGTATCTAAAATACATAAAGCATTTGACCTCACTGACTGATTGATGAAAAGCGCTCGCCAGAAGCCTTAAGAGTTGGGAAGCTGAGTTTTTCACAATAGTTGTCTCTTAGGATGTACGTGAAGTTTTTAGTAGGGCTTGGTAAAAGTACTTCCGCAAGCTTGGAAACCTTTAGCCTCATATGTCTGATATTTAAGAACTCATTATGTCCTTAAGGCAGCTCGAAAGCTATGGCAATTTATAAAAAAAAACATTTCACAACTCTTAAGCTCGCCTCATTATCTGCGCGACAGGCATTCAATTATATTTGTTGAGCCGTCGCACAGTGCGTATACGCAACGTGCGCCCCGAGAATTGCTTTGTTTGCTTAGGCTTTTGACTGCTTTCGGTGAGTTGGCAGCAAAGTCGCTTGTCAATATTTACGCTACCAAAATAATGTATAAATAATTGCATGTCACTCGCGGACAAACAAACGCACATTTATTATAAATACATATACATATATACAAACTGGTATATACATATATATTTTTGTGGGTATACAGACATATTACTTCTCCCTTCTGAGCATTTCATTTAGGTGTTGACAGCTCTCGACACCGCAGCTAATCGGCAAGCTCAACTGTCTGATTTGACATTAGCATAATGACTGGCAAGTGGGCGTGGCAAAATGGTACAATATACTCGCAATAATTACATTTATTTACGTGGAAAAGATATGGCTATATTATCGCAGGCCTACGCTGGTAAAAAGTACAGGCACAACTTATGCCAGAGCACATCATTCCCATGCAAAATCAATACAGCACAAGCCAAATTAATAACACTTTTTAAAACTGTCCACACGTGTCGATGCAGGGAGGTAGGCCGTGTGAGGGGGGCACGAAATGAACATCGATTCGATTGCAGTTGACAGCTCAACTTAAATTATGCAAAAGCTGAAAATGAACGAGCAAAAAAATAAAATAAACCCAGCAGCAATTACCAGCGATTCGTTTTATTAATTAAGTGGCCAACAATTGACAGCCAGCGGCCGGAGATGGTCCGTGGTCCGTGGCAATGGCAATGGCCAGAGAAATGGCTCTCCCCTTAGGCGAGCCCAACTGACACTTATTGATATTGACAAAGGTTAAGACAGGTAATTTTGCTTGTAACAATGTAATAAAATACTGTAAAATACTGTAAAGTACGTAAGTTGAGAGCTTGAAGGTTGTATATCTCTACTTCTTTTTTTCATTCCTCTAGAGGCTCTTCTAAATAATAAATCAGAAGCCTTCAACAGTTTTTTTTTTGCCAAAAATTCCAATTTTATTAGCTTGACTATTTAATTAACTTTTCAGCAGAAGCATTTGGAAATTGGCTAGGATAAACTGTTCGTTTCCGTTCGTTTGTTTACTGTAAACCCAATATATTGCTAACAGACAGCACAAAGTGACCACATATATTGTTTACATTAAATAAACATCTGGCAACTTCAAAGCAAGCAAAGTTAGCACAAATTAAAATATACATTTAGTTGGTATGTTTAATAATAGGTGTCTTTTGGAGCCTCTGAAAAACAAGTACGAGGCTCTAGTCGGCCAGTTCCCGACTAGGGGATATCCCCAACCTTCTTCTACCAACACCAAATGCAGCAAAATATTTGTAAGCTAGAAGCTACATGTTTGGCTCTTAAGAGCTAACTTAATGGCTTAGCTTTAAAGGGCTGTTGAAGCTTTTAAACTCAAAGATGTTGTACAAATGGATAATAATTCCCTTACCAAAATCAATAAATTTTTTAAGACGGGAATTAATACTTGCCAGATCTTAGGAAATATTGTACATCAATAGTAAAATTCGCTTTTAGCCAATTATTTGGATCCATTGAAGCTGAAATCTTAAGGCCAATCATTTTGATAGCATATTAAGCCAAGCAAACTAAACTTAACCCTTGGTAAATATGTGTTTCCTTAAAAGTTTGCTTAAGCATCCAGTCAAAACAAGCTCTTAACTCAGTTCATACACATTCCCGAGCACACACACACTCCATGGAGGGGCTTGTGTGTGTGTGAGTGTGTGTGTGTGTGGACAGCGTGTGCCGACGACATGTCTGCAAAATTGCGAGCTTGTCGCGCTGTTTGTTGTTGCTGCTGCTGTTGGTTTTGCGGCTCATAAATCACAAAATTTTTGCGCGTGCGAAATTAATAAAAAAAAAATAAAAAATTTAAAAAATTCTGGAGGTGCCGAGAAAGAGAGAGAGAGAGAGAGAGAGAAAGGGGGAATAAAACTGAAATCCAAGCCAAAAGCAAAGCGCAATAAAAAGTTTTTGATTTTGGATCTCTTTATTTGTGTGTGTGTGTGCGTGCGGGTGAGCAAACAAAATTACAAAAGCCAGACAAACTGACGAGCAGTAGGGGGTTAGTTGGTTGGCGAGGGGAACAGGGCGTGGTCGCCGTGACAGCCAGACGGCGGCGGAAACGGAAATGCGTAACGCCATACGTGGCCACAGTCGAAGCGTTGTCGCGGTTGCTGTTGCGGTCGTTCTTTATATTTCAGTACAGCAAAAGTGCAAACAGTATTTTGATTAATTGCAGACATGAAACGGCCAAGAACCACAAAAGCAACAGCAACAATAACAATGTGAGTCAGGTCGAAACTGGTTGACTTCTCTTGTTGTTGGGGCCCTGAAACAAAAGCCACAGGCTGGCCGCACTAAATATAAATCTAGGCAGCCATAAAAGTGCAATAAAGAAAAAGGTGCTTTACGCTTGTATTACCTTTACACACACACACACACACAATTTCGCTTACAAACAAAACAAAAGGTTTTTGATCTCACAATGAAAAGCTGACTTGATATATTTTGATAAAATACAAAGTTTATTTGGCGGTTTTTCAAGCTTGGACTCAACATCTAAATAAATGACGAAGGATTGTGTTGGATAAATATTTGTATTCTAGACTGCAACGCGGCATTCCAATTTATATTTTACCCTCAATCGAACCTTAAATCTAATCGAAACCCTAACCGAACCATGGGCGCTTATATGATGTAAAGAAAATGCTTTGCGAACGATTCAATTCTTTAATTGAGGCATTTGAAATAAAAACAAAGAAAGTTACAGATTTTTTTAGAATGGAATAAATATCAGATATTCGATATATTTTCTATACTTAATGTTTGCATAAAAAATCAAACTCCCATTATAAGCGATAGTTCAATTTTGTTCAACTTTGGCTCATATATTAGAAGCTTGTAAAGCTCGTTATTGTGAATATATTTGGCAAGACAATTTGTTTATACCAAAACTTAATTTTCGTATCTGTCAAAGAATGTTTTCAAATGTGATAA